CGATCAAAGAACTGAAAGTTCTCTCCCTGACGCGCCCTTGGCCTCTGCGGGCATCATGGGGCGCCATCCACTGGGTCTGGCCGACTCACGCCACACTGTGTCGGCCTCTGTTCCTGTCTGAAATCGGTTACAATCCTTGTGTGCTGAGTCTACTATTTATGTTAGACTCAAATTACTCCCTTTTGTTAGTTTCCGGCGTACTTAGTTCGTCCTCGCTCCTTCTCCCTATAATTACCTATCGTTATTGATTGCAGCTACTTGTAGTGCTAGCGCACTACACAGGGGGTCCACCCTCCTACCCCACATTCACAGTCTAAACGAATTTATGAACAAAATTAGATAATCTGTTTATATTTATATTTAAATCATAAAATATATTACATTTTCCGACTTAGTTGGCTCTTCTGCGCCTCGCTTTGCTCCGAAGGGCGTGAACCATCGCGCCGAAAAATATCCCGGAAAGACACAACGAGCAAAGCGAGTGGTGCTTGAGATATCTTCGCAGAACTCTCTATCCAGGCCGAATTATTAATTTATTAAACTAAAATAATAATATAGAAATATAAACAATTTGAATTTTGAGGAGTGTAGGGTTATATATTAATCCTTCTTCTTCTCTGGTGCGCCATTCAACTTCTTCTGCTTTCCGAGGAATGCTCAACGCAGTCCAGCGGTATATTGCTCGTCTCAGCAGCTGAAATGTTGAATTGAGTTGTTTTTTATTTCAGAAAAGAAAAAACATTTTATTTTTAAAAAATAAATATATATTCTGTTAAAAAATATTTTTTCCTCCGTCAGATCGCTGAAACCTTCAACTGGGAATTTGTACTGCACGGGCACTACAATAGCTCCTCTGTGTGGCCTCTAGAGGCCTAGTATCATGAAAAGGATTAAATACAATAAAATATAGTATTTATAGTATTTCAGGATTTATGACATCTTTACAAAAGAAAAAGATGCATAAAAGGATCGGAGTGCTCACCAGCTGGCACCCCGGCTTGGGGGCTGGGTGTGAGGCTGGGTCAGGGGGAAGTTCTTCTCTTCTGAGGATTTCTTGCTGGAATAAATCAGGAACTCGAATGCTTTTTGAATATTTTACGGATATTATAGTGGGAATACCGAGAATTACGAGTTTATATATATCCTTAGTAGCGGTGTGTGCGCTCAGCTATGCAGCTTAGGGTGACAGCAAAGGCACTACAGAATTCAGGTTTCGCTTGAGCCCACTGTCTTTTATGGCTTCATTTGTTTTCAGATATTTTATAATAATATATATATTTTAATTTTTTAATGAAAACGAAAAATAGTTTTCTTTGCTTATTCCACCGCCGCCAGGATTTGCACTGGTCCGATCAAGAGGTCCACTGTGTATCACCTATCAAAATATTACTTATTATACATAAAATAATATAAAGATACATTTATTTACCTTTTATATTTGTATATTTTTCATAATAATATAAAGATACATTTATTTACCTTTTATATTTGTATATATTTCATATAAACGCAGCATGAGCCTACGCGCCTTTCACAGAGGAAATTCAAAACACGCAACAGTATATATTCAAGTTTGTTCTAGGGTTTATGGGTTTTAGGGTTTAGGGTTTAGGGTTTAGGGTTTAACAGTACAGGTGTTTTTCGAGGGAACTAGGAGCGTTGTATATTAGGGTTTAGGGTTTACGTTTAGGGTTTATGTTTAGGGTTTAAGAGCAGCTAGTAAGGGGAGGATTCGGCAGCAATAAGATATAATATTTTATACACATGATAATAAAATATTAATTTCAATATATTTAAGTAAGTATAAAATATAATATTTATATGTATAATACTAAAAAACCATCAAATTCAATAAATACACATCATTCGCTATTTTATTAACTCATAGATAATACTATTAAAGTATTAATTGCAGTTGTATTCGTATTATATATTATATATATATATATATATATATATATATATATAATATATAATACGAATACACCATAAACAAGATAAACATAATATACTGACGTTAAGAACAAGGATTACGCTGTTGCAATACACTGCAGAAGGTTTGGTGTTTTCTGCTGGTAGAAGGGCGCAGAACAATATATAATAAATATTTATATTTATTTTTTTATTTTTATTTCTTTTTTGTTTATTTATTATTTACTTTTTGTTTTTTCTCGTTTGTGTATCTATTACCTCTCTATGATTTGTTGTTATTTCTACATATCCCGTTTGTTGCGTTTCTTTCTCTACTTATTTATTTTTTTTTAATTTTAATTTATACTTTGCGTATATAATTTTATTAGTATTCCTATTTATTGCTATTATTTTGTATATATTAAATATTAATATATAGTACTACTATGTATTATATATTATATATATTTTACATTCTTTATGATTCTTATATATTTATTATTACTTATTATTATTATATATTTATTATTATTTATAATTATTTATATTTATTTATATTTATTTATAATTATTTCTACTATATCTCTCATCCTCAATAGCCCCCTATTCTGCTGCTGCAACGATCACCTACGCGGGGTGTACAGGCAGCCTGCTGCCTCTCCTTTTTGTGTTTTCTTTTTTAATGCAGAAAAACAAAATAAACAAAATAAAAAAGAAATAAAACAAAACAAAACAAACGAAATAAAAAAAAACAAAACAAATAAACATCTGCATTTAGTTATACTCAGAACAAACTCCTCGCCATCAGTAGCAGAAACTCTACACACACCACCGCCTAAGATGAAAGCTCAACGGAAAGCTAGTATTCCAGCTGCTGCTGCTGCTGCTGCTGCTGCTGCAGGTATTCTTGCTGCTGCTGCAGGTATTCTTGCTGCTGCTGCAGGTATTCTTGCTGCTGCTGCTGCTGCTGCTGCTGCTACTGCTGTTACTACTGCTGCTGCTGCTGCTGCTGAGTTTCTGCAGCAGCATAACCCCTCAAGACAACTTTTGTTTGTATACTGCATCTGTGTGATCCTGGGTAGCCAGGCAGTGCGGGCTACGAGCCGACTGCTTGATGCAGCAGCAGCAGCAGCAGCAGCAGGAGCAGGAGCAGCAGCAGCAGCAGCAGCAAATTAAAGAATTGAGTTTAAGAGTGCAGTAGAAGGGCAAAAAGAAGCAGACAAAAGCTGCAGCAGATGTGTATTGAAATGACGGCTGCGGTGGCGGGCTGCTCTATGCAGGATTCATGTATGCATGCAGCCACCCAGGAACATAAATATTTATTTATTAATATTAAAAATAAATATTTATTTAAACATATTTAACTCCATATATTAAGTAACAACAACAAAGACAAACAAAGACGCAGAGGCAATGCCACAAACACTGCAACCAGACAGCAGCAGCAGCAGCAGCAACAGCAGCAGCAGCAACAGCAGCAGCAGGAGATATCTGCAGTGTACACAACAGAATGAAGACAAAAAAAAACAACAAAATATAAACAGAAGAAGAGGCAGCAGGAGGAGTAATTCTTAATAAAGAGAAATATACGACTGGGTGTTCGCTGCGAGCAGCAGCAGCGGCCGCTGCTGCTGCTGCTGCTGCTGCTGCTGCTGCGGCTGCAGCAGCAACAGCAGCAGCAACAGCAGCAGCAGGAACGACAGCTCATCCGCCTCCGATTGAACCTTTTTTAGGGTTTTTTATTTACTTATGAGGACTCATTTCTTTATTCTTTCTCCCTACAAACAAACTCTATAACACCCAGCTTGCAGCTGTCTATACACCGCAGCGGCTCCTCCTCAGCAACCCCCTCCCCGGCAAGATGGATGAAGAATATGACGTGAGAATTCCCTGCATGCGTTTTATACAGCCTCTGTAGCTGCTGTTGTTGCTGCTCCTGCTGCAGTAACAGCAGCAGCAGCAACAGCAGCAGCAGCAGCAGCAGCAGCAGCAGCAGCTCTGTGTAGAAGAAGACCCTGTGTACGAGGCAACTGCTCAGGGGCTCATAGGTCCCCGTGTTCTCTGCTCCTCTTGCGTTTCTGTCTAGCTGCTGCTGCTGCTGCTGCTGCCGAGCAGCAGACACCGCAGCAGCAGCAGCAGCAGCAGCAGCAGCAGCTGCTGCTGCTGCTGCTGCAGCAGGGCAACAGCTGTGTGGTGTCTGTTGCTGCCTCTTCTCTCAGTTTCAGCAGCTTGGTTGTTCCTTGGTAGACGGGTTTATGTTGAGTTTATGTTTTTGTTTGTGTGTATATATTGAGGGATAGTTAGCTTGTTTTCTCCCCTTTATCTTTTTTTATATTTTATTTTTTAATATATTTTTTTTTTTTTTTTT